GGTGGGGAAGCCGCCTCGCTACCCCCACCCGCGGCTTTTGTGATTCTTGTGTTCTTCTTACCGCGTCGAGCGGAATAGCCTATTAGAGCTTTTGAAACCAAAGTAAGTAAGCTTGGATTTAGAGTTTATGAAACACAGAAGTCAGTTTTTTATGCCAAGCGTTATTTTCAAGCTCTGTAAGTTTCAGGCAGCCAATATACATGTAACTTACTTTCCTGCGGGTGTACGTGAGCTACTTTAAAGATGATTATGTCCTCGAGATGAGGTTATGTCGCTGTTCGCTCGGTTCGAGTGGATCAAGACACGACACGGCTACGGCTACGCAATGCAATGCTAGCCGCGTCCCGCGTCTTCTTCTTCAAGGCGTATGAGACAGGGCTTTGCGATAGACCTTTTCGCCCGGCGGTGGGACCGAGCGCTCCGTTCGGGTCTTCCCGGGCTGAGGGGGGATCTCCGCGTGACCTGAGCTCGGCGAAGGGACTTTCCGAGCCCGACGGAGACTTGAAATCGGCAGAGTCCTACAACACTGCGTGCGTGTGCTTGTGTGAGAGGATCGCGATCCAATCGCACCCCAGCGTACGGCCTGCCTGTTGGGCCGCCCGCCCCCGCCCCGAGCCCCCGCCAGGTAGGCCGGCCCGCCCGCCCCGCTGCCCATGCGGGTGGCCTGCCCGCCGCCTTCGGGCGCTCGCTACCCCGACCGGGGGGCGACGACGACGTGCCGGCCCGCCGCCCCTCACACTTCTGTCTGCATATGAAAATTAAATGTGACACGTGGGGTAAGGGGCCCAGTAGTCGACAGTACACCAGTAGTCGACACTTCCAACTTTCCGATCGATTTCCCGCGAATAAGTTAACGTTAGAGTCTCGCGCGTTTTTCCGGGTTCTAGCGCACTCTATTGAGATTATAAGGAACCCATTGCCGATTCTGTGCTACCTCCGGGAGCCGGTTGGCAGCGCTTCGCACGGAACACTGCTCGTCGCGTCACATCGAGCCATCATATCTTAGCTCCGGAGTAGTGGACAGGTGTTCGCTCGGAAGGTTCTGTGAGGCTGCCATTCACCCGAGTGATTCCGGACGACGTTTGTGTTGTTGTCCATGATATGTTTTATCTTACCCTATTTAGGTTGTCGAAAATTTCGGTCAGGGGCGTAAATAATGGCGATGTCGACTACTGGGCCAGAAAAAGACATCTGTTCCAGTAGTCGACACTCACTTTATTTTGAGTGTGTGTTGCCTTCATACGGGCTAATTCCGACAACTAGGGCCCTTTGTCAACGTGAAATGTTGTTGCGATCGTGTGTCCTTTATTATCTTGTTCGTAATACATCATACTGACAGCAGTAAAGCACCAGGTGTCAATACTGTGCCGAATGATAGAGTTTGCGTTCAGTGCCCCATTTGGGTAAAGGATTTCTCTGGGAATGTGCCCTGGTTGCCTGAGAAAAGTGTCAACAGACACAAGGGTGGAGAGGGGGGTGGCGGCTGGCCGCTAGGGTGGAGTGAAAACCTGGGATTGAATAAGTACACCCGGACTAAAGTACTTCAAGGTATCCCAAGACTTGCGGCACAGTCCATTCTGACTCATTGTCTGACCTTCAACGGCTCTCGAAGGGTTCGAAGTTAGGTCATTGAGGGAAATTGGCCCATTTTTGCCCCCCCCCCTCCCCCCCTGGGTCCCCGTAGGCATAATCCCAGGAACGGCTATATGCGGTTCGGTGTGGAATTTAACCCAGGAGTCGATAAGCTGTGCGATAACATCTTCAGCTTGCCCACAAGACATTTTGAGGGACAAACTAAGGTTTACTTACCAAGCTATGGCCGGCACTCCCGGTTTTCGTATGCCACATCGTGTCGTCCTATGCATTATTAGGTGCGCTTTGACGAGACGGAACGGTTTTAATGTAGACTAATTGCGCTGAGACAAATATTTTCCGATATGTAGCCGAAAAACGACGTTTTTAAGAACCAGAAAAAATCTTTTTTCAACATATTTTAAAAAAGGTCGTCTAAAGGCCGAAAAAGCCGAACAGCACCTCGCAAAGAGGGCCGAGAAGGGCACCCCTGATGGCCAACAAGGCGACCGAGAGGCAGAGGAAGGCTAGCCAGGCTGCAGGGACCCGTCAGACACGGCAATCGGGGTAAAATGACAGAGTGTCCACTACTGGGCCAGGCAGTGTCGACTACTGGGCCAAAGGTGTCGACTACTGGGCCAATGAACATTGTTTTTTGTTACGCATTTCTGTGTACAAAAATTTATTTATTTCCATTTTCGGCCCATGGGGCATTAAGTTTAATCCTTCCACTACACCCCCGAAGTTTTTCCTTGACGCTACCGTACACCCACGCTCCGTTGTAGGCAATTTTGAAAAGCCTTGCTCTTAAACTGTCGACTATTGGGCCCCTTACCCTGTCTTTATCATGACAATTTCAACACGCTGTATGAAGACGTCACTATCACTTTATGTGCGCAAAAAGACGGATTTGTTGCCCCCGTGCAAGAGCTTTGTTTCCGCTCCACACTGATAAACCAAGTGTTCAACTGCTCAACACTTGTAAGTGTGCAACCACGAGTTCAATACTTGCAAGTGTTCAATTCAGTAGTAGTACAGTTGCAAATGTTAAACTCGGTATTTGCGCACTTGTAAGTGTACAACTCTTCTGTTGTACACTTGTCTAGATCGGGCGCTTACTGTGAGGGAAGTGTTGAACAGAGGAGTTGAACACTTACAAGTGCACAAATACCGAGTTGAACACTTGCAAGTGTACTACTACTCAATTGAACACTTGCAAGTATTGAACTTGCGGTTGCACACTTACAAGTGTTGAGCAGTTGAACACTTGGTTTATCAGTGCAGCTACGCCCACATCACCACAAATTGGGCGATAGAGAAATTTGGGCGATATCGCAACAATGTCGTTTTGATATCGCATATCGATTTGTTGCCCACTTTTCTGTCACTAGCGAGAAGAAAATCGCCATAAAGTCGACATGCGATAACGATATCGATGGACGCACCCGCGCCCGCGCGGTCCCACCTCGGCGCAGGCCCACCAAGGTGAGAGTGTCCCCGCTCCCAAAGTCAACATAAGGTTCGGTGATTGAGTACGCAGGGGGTTCGTTTCGAATGTACAATTAAACCACAACGCCCTGCGCTGCGTGAGCGCCTGTTAGGAAGTCCCGGCGCTGGCTCCACCGTACCGCCGTTGCGGATGTCCTAACGTTAGCGGCGCCAGGCGCTCGTACCAGCCTCCAGCACAAACGCCTCGGCTGCCCTGTGGGTATGCGGCTGCAGAGGGTGCTGCATCCCAGTGGCGGATTAAGGTCCGGCTGACAGGGGGGCGATGCACTGTCGGTTGCCTACATACAGAGGTTTTGTGGCGCAAATTGCCTACCTTTCAGGCGGCTGTCTAGAGACGACAGGGGGGGCGATCGCCCCCCCCCCCGCC